CTTCACATCCCGTCCCACCTAATTTATCCAATTGCGTTAGACAACATTATTGGATAGCAACATATGTGAATTTCGGTTTAATTAACTTACCCTTATCGAGATATTTTCTCCAAATGGCAAAGCACAAGTTAACTATTGCATACTATAAACTATACACGGTTATCTTATCGCTAAAATGGTATGCAACACTTTTATCAATTCAGTTCCTTCCTACATGCATTCTGGCTCCACTTAACATCAACTGATAGACGCTGTGACCTCAGGCTTGCATATCACAATGACCCAACAAGCTATACTAGTGGAACTTTTGTTCCCTCGAGGTACTGTCATGCCAGAAACGTCTGTTGGATAGTGGTAAAACGAAAACCAGTTACCGCTGTGCTGTATTAATTTATTCCAGCAATACAGTCCTTGATAGCGATTCAAGTACACGTAACAGCATCCTTAATATCTCGAAGCTGCTCTCCAGTATATATTTTGAAGCTTCCGATGTCCATGCCCTTCGTCAAATCGAACAACAAGCTTAGATAATCAAACATTTGGGATGTAGAGCCACAAATGTGTTTTGTTTGTGCGACATGGTAGTTTCCAGCTAAAACTACTCAGAGACAACACATGATTCTCATCAACATGACTTCCAGACATAAAGAGAGACATTATCTGACATGGCTTTCACCAACTTCAACTCAACGGTGGGCACAGATAGATCACATTGTTATCATCTATCGCTGGAGAGGGTCAGTGGGAGATTGCTACATTTTGTGGAGCTGGTGTTTGGACAGCCATCACGCGTTGGTTCGGGCACTCGTACATCTACGTCTAAATGGCTGCCAAAGAGCTACAGCTGCAAAACCATTCTGAGTTCAGCTAGTTGCTGATAATACTAAGGCTACCTTCAGTAAGGATCTGGCAACGTCACGCATCGCGAAGAAACTTTATGCCATCTCCACTCTCCTGAAAAAACAGCCCTGAAGACCGTGTAACTGACTATAAGAAATATGTTGGAAAGAGTTAGTGGATCTCAGCAGCGGAAACGACTGGAACGATGGGCAAAACACTTTGGTTAGTAGTTCAATTTGGCCCCAGTTACTACTCCGTTGCTGATAGCATTCGGGTCATGAATGCAAAATTGAGATAGAACTCTTGCTTTAGTTCGGAAGGCTGTTAATGACCTAAGACGAGAGAGAACACGAAGGTCAAATGGCCTAGTACTGGAGGTATTTAGTGATAGTGGCAGTATATTATTTGTCAGGTTAACTGAAGTGTCAGCCAGCGAGTCGGAATGAGATGTGATCGCATATAACTAGTCTGTTTCATCCCGACACGTAGTTGCCACCATGACGTGGTGGTTGGGATTGCATATCACAATGACCCAACAAGCTATACTAGTGGAACCTTTGTTCCCTCGAGGTCCTACCATGCCAGAAACGTCTGTTGGGTAGTGGTAAGACGAAAAGCAGTTACCGTTGTACTGTAAACTACTACAATATGACGGGAGTGTGAGTGAGAGCAAATTCGTACTGCTACTAGCTAGATGGGGATGTGACAACAGTAAGGTGTTTCACTTGGATGACAGGCTGTGGCACGCTGGTGCTACCTTCCCTATGGGAAGTGGGGATGAGAAAGGTCGACACCAAAAACAACATACTCCACCTTGCCCCACAGTTGTCTGGTCCCGGTGGCATGGGTTCTCTCCAACTGGCATTAAAATAACCAAACCTAAAACATTCCACAAAAGGCCTCGCGGGACAGACTTCAAGTAGATGTCCAGTGGGCTCTGCAGTCACACGAATCTTTTCTTCTTCTAGGTACCTTAATAAGAAATAGC